CTCCCTTTATATTCTTGGTTAAGGCTGTGCCTACTCAGGTTTTCCCAGGGCAGGGAGTCATTACCAGCCCTGGTGTCCAGAAATAAAAGTGTCTGCACTTGGACCTGAGAGAGACTGAGATGCCTGGCCTCTGGTCGTTTGGATTTTAGCTGGTGGCCTGGCCCACAGAGGAACCAAAGAGACAAAGGACATCCAGGGTGATTGCGTCATTGGGGATGCTACCAACTCGGTCCCATATTTCACATTCATAGGGTCCTGTGTCATTCCTTGTGACATTGGGTACAATGAGGATCCTGTTTTTACCAGGTTGCTTTAGCCTGGAACTGACCGGGAGGCTCTGACCATTTACCCTCCACAAGTAGGTGTAACCCTGAGTCTTAGGTTCACAGGTTAAGGCTACAACATTCTCATTCTCCATGGGGTTGAAGTTGTTGCTGGTGATGTAGGGTTTGGGCAGCTCCGCTGTGTGGATAACAGAGAGAAGTTTGTCCCGTGTGGCACCTTTGATTCCTCCACAGGCATCCTTCAATCAGAGTTGGCATCTCCCACCTTTCAGCCCACCTGAGTCCTTGAAAGCCAATAACTGGTGCATGTGTTACAAGACAGATGCACAGTGATCTAAGGACTCAAAGACTGTGAGGCCACCTGCTCTGTCTTAGGGAAGCACAGACTTTCTCAAGTGTGAATTGAGCAGCAGTGTTGGGTCATGAACAGACACGTCAGTGGGAGTCACAGCCCCTGGTACTGACTGGCTGGGTCACTTTGGGTTCCTTACCTGGAATGTGCAACTGCTGTGCCCCTTCCAAATTCCATCCTACTTTGCCCCCTTAGATGTGATTTCTCTGCCTCTTCCATTTCCAAGGACATTCTAGAGATGAGTAATAATGGGACTTCCCATTGTCCTGAAACCCTGAAGATACTGAGCAGCCTGGCCTGGAACTGGATGTTTCAGCAGAAATAAGACAGGGGATACCAGAGTCAAGCCTGGAGGTCAGTTCAGTCATCAGGCAGTGGAGGCACAAGGTGGGGCAGTTTTCTGCAGGTGTTTCATGATGACTTACTTGAGCCAGTGACCTCCAAAGATAGAGCAGAGTGCAGGGAATGATCTAGAAAGAGTGAAGGGGATAGGCAAGAGCTGGTGGCTTTGGAGCAGAACCATATTCCACGTTCTGGGATCTTTAAGTTTCCTCTCCTTCTGCAGAGGGCAGGTGAGGACTATGTGGATCCTTCCAGAAACACATGTGGACATTTGCAAATGCAGAACTGACTGGTGGAAAGGGTGGGAATGAACTGCTAGAAATCTGGTCCTCATTGGACCATGTGTGTTTGATGGAAATGAGACAAATTTTGGGAGAAGTTTTGGAAATATTTTCTTTTATTGTACTCTCTACTGTCCGATTCCATGGGTTTGACTACTCTAGGGACCTCATGGAAGTGGATTCCAGAGTGAATCTGAGAAGAGACTGCTGGTTGCCAGGAGCTGGGAGTGGGAAGAATCAGAAGTTGGTCATGGGTGTGCAGTATCAGTTATGCAAGATATTATATACAGCTTGATGCCTATAGTTCACACAGATTGAGCATTCCTTATGCATAAGACTTAGGACAAAAAGTGTCTTGGATTTCTGACATTTTTTGATTCTGAAATATTTGTCACATACTTACTGGTTTAACATCCCAAATCTGAAAGATTCAAGATCTATAATGCTCCAGTAAGTATTTCTTTTCAGCATCAGATTAGTACGCAAAAATGGGAAGTGATAGGCCAAATACGTTCTTGTCCTTTTTCTCTCTCTCACCATGTTTCTAGCTTGGTGATTAGTTTTTGGTCAATTCCATACTGGCCATGCTGCACTTGTATATTTTTGAAGGTTTTGGGATGTGAGAAATAATGATTGCTATTTTCTATGTCATCAACACTTTCCACCTTTTCATGGTTGCATCTTTTCCTCAGTGTCTCTGTTGTAGCAGTCATCAATTAAGAGCCTGTCAGGTCAGAGTTAGGACAGATTTTTGTAATTCTGCAAAAAATGTTACTGGGATTCTGGTAGGAGTTGTGTTGAATCTGCAGCTCAGTTTGAGTAATATTGTCTTCCTAACAATATTGATTCTTCCAATCCGTGAAAGTGAATTGTCTTTCCATATAATGATGTCGTCTTTAATTTCTTTCAGTAATGTTTTGTAGTTTTCATGATATAACCCTTAGACCTTTTTGGTTAAACTTATTCCAAAATATTTTATTCCTTTTGATGTTAATGTGATTGGAAATTCTTTTCTTAATTTCCTTTCAGATTGTTCATTATTACTGTATAGTCTAAAGAATGATGTAGAAGGAGTGAAGGCGACAGGCAAAAGCTGGTGGTTTTGGAGCAGAAACATATTCCCTGTCCTGGGTTTTTGATTTTCCCTCTCCCTTTGCAGAGGGCAGGTGGCTCTTCCCTGATAGCCAGAGAGACTTCACTGGAAAACGTATTGGCAATGCTCCAGGGATCCACTTACCAGGGACTATGATCCTCTGGATTATGAGATTTGTCCCACCAGTGGCTGAGTTATGCATGAAACAGACATAGACCCCTCCATATGTTTTAGTGATTTGGGGGATAAAGAACACTTTGTTCTTTATCTGGATTACTGGAATTTCCCATCAATCAGCCAAGAAAGCTCTGGCAGTGGGTGAGAGTCTGTGAGGCAGGATAGCTTGGGGACTTCCCCTGGATGGTAATAGGTGTATGAAGAAGAAATGGTGGGGGTATCTAGGCCATCTGGAGCAAAGAGAATAAAGTCACAGCTGATGTTGTCAGAGGGAAGGGAAAATCCTGGTCTGTGGAAAGGCCACAGTGACCCTGTGAGCCTAGTCACAACACTGAAATCCCAGCCAAATCCTTGCTGTGTTCACTGTTCTGGAGCCTGAGA